AAATTTAGCCACGCTGCTTAGCGGGTGTAACAAATGTCTGCGAGCTGAGGCCTGGGAGGTGTTCCCGCAGATCAGAGACGCTGCTTCTGTGTCTGATTACTTGTCTGCTGTCATGGAGCTCTGCTCTCTGCGTCTATCTCTTTCTTTCCTTCTCCCCACAGCAGCCACAGGGGACCATCACTGCCTCGCTTATTCTTTGTTTAGTTTGTGATTCAGTAGCAAGTCAGCGCAGCCCACCCTCAGATGTATACCTATTCTTTGCCCAGATGCGGCATCAATTAAGGCCACTTAAAGCTCCCGACCTCAAAGTCACCAACTATACCACTAAATTGGACTGTAGAGTGGGAACGTGTCAGCCGCAATAATTCTGCTGAGTGAGATCGGAAATATTTTTCTTTGTCCTGATAAACTGGGACCTGAGAGAGTTTTAGGAGGTATGGAATATGAGACCACTGTCCAAATCAGGTTCCACTCAGCTACTCCGATTACAACTGATGTGCTCTTTTGTGCCATATACACTTCTACCTGGATTAAGTTGTCTATCTCATTGTGCCTCTCTCCCTCCTCTCTTCACCCTTCATCCCTCCCAACTCTGTCTCCTCTTGCCTCCTCCGTCTGCCTCACCACTGATCTGTCCTGTTCTCCTCTTAGGGGACACCACACAAAGGATGAGATCCGCTCCGTTTCCAACCCCTGCAGAATTGGACGCATATGCTAAGAAGGTTGCCAACAACCCCCTCTCCATCAAGATCTTCCCCAACAGTGTCAAGGTCCCCCAGCGAAACCACGTGCGCCGTACGGTCAACGGGCTGGATACGTCAGGCCAGCGCTACAGCCCTTACCCTTCGTCTCAGGCCAGTGCCAAGACAGGCCTCCTCGCCATCGTCAAGGTGCCCACAGTCAAAGGCATCCTCAAGGATTTTGACGGCAGCAGAGCTCGCTTGCACCCTGAAGTCATCATGAACCCTCCCACTGGACCCTATCAAGTGGCTTCAACCAGCACTTTAAACCACCACCCACCTCTGCCGAACCTCCCACGGCCCCAGCAGAGCTTACTTCAACCGCAGGATCCGCCTCAGACTCTGCAGATGCCCCTTCCTCAGCAGCAGGCTCACACCCAGAGCCTCAGACACCCTCCCCCTATGGCCCAGCACCCTCAGGGCCCACCCAGACTCCAGACTCTGTCTCAGCACCCAGCCCTTGGCCACCCACAGGGGCCTCCTACTGTCATGCTTCAGCAGCAGCACCTTCAGCAGCAGCCGCCACCTGGCCTGCAGGGGAGCAGAAAGCTGCCAGATGGCGACGCACCGCCTAACGTTACCGTCTCTACCTCAACCATTCCACTCTCCATGGCCGCTGGGTTGCACCAGGGCCGCCAGGCTGACCTGAGCACCATTGTGCATCAGATCAACCAGTTCTGCCAAGCTCGAGCCCAAGGTGCAGGAGCCACCTCCATGTGCGAGGGCCAGATTGCCAACCCCAGCCCCATCAGTCGCAACCTGCTTATCAGCGCCTGCTCCCGGGTGTCCATGCACAGTAACCCCGCTACCCCTGGCTTCCCCCCACCCAACTGCATTATCGGCGCTCAAGAGAAAGCCACAGCCCCAGTGGGAGCCCATCCTCCACCCAGCGTGGCTGCTATGAACCACTTGCCTTCCAACCACGCTGATCTCAAGCAGCAGCACCACCTGCAGCAGCATCTGCATCCGCAACAGAATCAGCAGCAACAACAGCTACAACACAACACGCAGCAGCAGAAGATGCGCTCTTGGAATCAGCATCAGTTGGCTCATGTGCCCCACATTCAGAACGGTGGGACCCACCTCTGCAAGCAGCCTTCCAGGGACCCCACCTTCCATTTTAAGGGCATGGGCTACCCTGCAGAGGTGTGTGTGGGTCAGCCTTACTCACTGAAACCTCCCATAGAGAGGCCCACTCCCTCCCCGCCTGTCAACAACGGCATGCCCGGCCCCATGGCCCACTACACTAACGGTCACTACTTCCAGTCCCACATTTGGAACAGCAGCATCCTACCCACACCCAACAGTGACAGCTCCGGGTCTCAGGACGTAGCCATGCCATTCCACGGTGCAGGCCCAGGAGGGTGTACCACACTAGACTGTGGGCCCCCTGGGGCTCCCCATTACAGGCTAGGAACCAGCTCCTCCACCTCTTCCTCCGCCCAGACTAATCTGATGCAAACGTCAGATTACTTGGGTGGGGACTTCCAGACGCCCTACTTCCGCGATCAGAATCTAGGGTTGATGGGCAAGATGCACAGGCCTCCTCTGAGCAGGGTAGGTCCAGAGGTTGGAGATGGCAGAACCGCTCTCATCCAGCACCCAGGGTACAGATAAGCTATGGCCTTGTCTCCTCAACCGTTATCAACCCCCTTTGTTTAGTCTTAAGAAAGGAAACACGTGAATAAAACTCAATTGATAACTTAAATGACCGCTAATGTTAAAGAGGGTAAATTAATATATTTAATGAAGAACAGTAGTTTTTTTTTTTTTGTTTGTTTGTTTGTTTGTTTAATCTTGCAAGTGATCAATTGCTACGTTTAGTTTTGTTGCTTTTACCTGGCACTTCTGGTAACTTTTTTATGTGTGTGTGTGTGTGTGTGTGTACACATCTGTACTGTTCATTCCCTGCTTCATCCTCGATCACACTCGTCGATCTGTGTGCCTGGGTCTTAACAGATCCTGTGTTATTTCTACCACAGACCTGTCGGTAGTTTTCTTATGCATGTAAGAAAGAAGAGAAACAATTTCCTCACTGAAAAACAGCAACGTCTACTGATGGATTTTTTTTTTAATTTTTCTTGTTTATTTTACAGGATCATGTCAGGAATTTTTGGCTCCGACTAGTTTTAATAGACTAATTTTTGGGTGTTAACGCTTCAAGATTAGATACAATCACTTCAGGACAGAAGAGAGAGTAACGATCTTGTTTCAGTGCAAAGCCATCGGACACTGGAAACTACAAAACACAGCTGGAAGCGCTTGCAGTATGCACATGTACACAGAGGTTTTATTCTTTTTAAATGTAATTATTTATTTGTATAATAGGACTATTCAAGATTAATTCCTCTCGGTCAGTTAAGGAAGCACGTAATCAGGTTGTTTGTACATAGTAAAGTTTCAGCAGGGAGCAAACATGTAGAAAAGGTGATGCTCTGTCCTGCTTCAAATGCTGCAATGAATTCAGGTGTTAAAAAAAAAAAAAAGACGACTCAGTGCCATAGCTGGCAACAAGATTGTGAAATGTTTAGGGCAGAAAAAGTCAAGAAAGATTAACTCTCCTACCTTAAAATGGCCAAAGTCAGGTTAATAAGGACACACTGTTATGAAGTTGTGCCATTTTTCTGTTTTGTGTCCTTTTCTGATCCTTTGTGTATCCATGACAAATGTAATACTTGAATGTTAAGATTATTTGTTTTGCAGGTATTGAAAGGGATAGGTTAGTGATGAGGGCAAAACTCTGGAGTAGAAAAAAAATAAGTGTTAATAATAATGTCACGTAGAGTCGAGCTACAGTTCTAGCCAGAGTTTTGGTCCCCGCAACAGGAACTTCAGTAAATTGTGTGTAGTTGCTACTGAATCTGATGTGAAGTCTGCTCGAAAAGACCAAATTGATCACTTGCAAGATCTCTCGGAGGTAAACGGAACCGACTTTTAAGTTTAAAGTGAAACAGCAAATGCATTGTTTATTTTATTGTACACTGGCTTACCTACTAGACTACTGTAACTTTAAAGTTTAATGATTGTGTGTGAATGACGCCCGCTGACGTGGGTACAGTTAAGGGTGAGTGTGCGAGCGTTAGAGAGTGTGTGTTATAACACAATTACGCCCATGTTTTGTTCACCTAACTCCCTAACAGCCCTTAAAAAGCCTTAAGTGTTTGGTCCTTGGACTTTCCTTTGAAAATGAGCATGGTTTTAATGAAAACCCCAAATAATAAGGAGAAAGAAGACGGTAAGGATACACAGAAACAGCAATTTTCTTTTAAATTTTTTTTGTTGTTTTTTTTGGGTCTTTTTATTTTAATGAAGTTTCGTTGACTAGACAGAGCAATTCCTTAGAGATTCTTTATTATGGAAAGCAAGAAAAGGAGTAATATTTTGTAATTATATATTTTAGCAATGTGTAGTTACTGAGCTGTAACATTTTTTTCCAAGTTTCAAAGCTTCAGTTTGCAGTTGTGACTATTTATAATACTTGATTTGCTTGTTATTTAAATTTTATTTTTTCTTCTTTGTTTCTTGTACTATTGCTGTGAAATGGAAGAAGGTCCATAAGCCTTTCTTTTGTGTCATTCTGTACGACAGATAAGAGGCAAGAGCGTGAGAGTTGTGCTACTCTTTTTGTAATATTGTAATAATAAAATAAAGTTCTAATTTATGCTTTGAAATGAGTCTGCACTCGGTTTGGTTGAACATTAACTTGTCTAAATTCACAGCGGGGGTCTTCGCTGCCGTTTCCTTCTGCTCCTTTCATTCTGCATGCGCTCGGTCTTAAAGAGATACATTAACTTTACAGTTGTCATCCTGCCTGACAGTTCAGGTAGCTTACTATTCACACACTTGTCTCTTCCATAATCAGCCTCACGAGTAGCTGAACAGTTCAAAAGGCCCATCGAAACCACGTATAATTTGTAACTGTGACAGCTTGTGCTGAAGGTGGGGATTGTTGCACCAATTGCTGTGCCGTCATGCCATTTATCCAGGCCTGCCTCTGCCAAATAGCAATAGGAAGTAGAGTAGACAAAGCAAGCTGTGAAATCCGCAGGACTATCTGGCCGCAGTAGATTTAGCTTGTCTGGCTGTGATGAAAATGGGACTCGTATAAAGGGCACACAGCGGGAGGGCAGGATCAGCACCTTCGTGATCAGTATTACTCCATGAAGGATTTTGAGCGATGCCAGAGGTGCCAGCAGGTTGTGGCCTTTGTGCAGCGGATGTGCATCCTGTTCACGTGCAGAAGCAGCATGCGGAGAAGCCTTTTGGATTAAATGTTTAATTTAAAATGCATGATTTCTTTGGCATTTAGGCAGCACTTGTTGCAGGAGTGATACATTCTACGTCTTTTTTTTTAGCATCATATCAGTCAAATGCACACATATCCACAATGTTTTCCTCATCACCGCTCAGCTTGGTGAAATACTGCCTTGAAGATGAAATTTAAAATCAAGTTGACACACTGGAGCATCAGTCAGTCAGAGTCGCAGTTCATCCATTTGGCAGTTACATTTCTTGGGGAACTGAAACTGGATACTGTCTTTAGGTTTGAATGCCTCGTTGCTCGGGTCAGTCAGGCTGAGCAGCCAGAGTGAAGCCCCGCGTTGGCCCTTTACACCGGTGAGGAGCTCGTCTCTGTGGACTGATATGCCCGCCACCGCCTACTGCGCTCCGGGAGCAAGCCTCTCCAGCTCCTCCCTGTGGATGAACAAGGACACGTTACTTAGATGTGAATGACTCCACTGTCTCACAGAAATGCATGCATACGTGTTTGTGCACCTCTTGGTAGGCTCGGCGGGGTGTCTGGGGCAGGCAGCTGGACACGGTCCCAACACCCAGGATCCTCATTGATTTTCCCCAGGTTGATGTTCCATTTGTTCCAGTTGACTTCCTCCACTCTGAGACAACAAGAGGACACATGCTCCAATTACTGTCCGCTGTGTGACGCATCAATCAGCTGTCAGCGAAGGCAAATTAGTGAAGAACACGGTGCGCCGGGCATCGCTTGGTCCTGCTCACACTGCCGCATCTTAGGGTAACTCTGCAGGACTAAAACCTTTATTTTTGCTTTATAATTACTGCTTGCTTAAGTTGGCTTCATGCTGCTCACAAGATCAGCCAGCAGCGGTAAACAGGTCTTTAATCCTCAGAGTAAAATCTCCTAACAGGGCTGAAAGTTTGTAACACAGCCAGTGGTGGAAGATGTGTTCACATCCTTTTCTTAAATACAAATACAGCATGTGAGAAATCCTCCAAGTTGTGCACAAAAAGACATAAGTATCAGCAACAAAATGTAGTTAAAGTATTAAAGTAAAACTACCGCTTTATACAGTTTTTCGTACAGAAATACAGAGACAGACGCTAAATCTGAGGTCTTGCCACATGATTATTTTTGAACATGTATTCAAATGAAACCATGTGAGAAGTTTAGAGGGAACAATCACTATTTGGTGAAGCTTTGAAGAACTCACAGATATCTAAAATAAGAGCCTGAATACATGCTGCTTTTTGTGAGAAGGCAACAGGATTGGAAAACACTGATTTAATCTTTAATTTTGTGTTGTAGTTTTTAAAATTGGCCATATCATCCATTGTGTACATTGATCTTAAAAGTAACTGAAGCTGTCAGATAAATGCATTGAGTATAAAGTAGCATAAAATGGAAACGTTTAAGTCTAACTTTGAAACCCAATAACCGACTATACCAGTCAGATGACAGCACTGAACCTCTCAGCAGAAAACCTGAAGACTTGTACTAACTGACACACATTGAGCGTTTTATCTCGTCCAACCGAACACAAGATCTGACTGCTACTGACCAGCAGAAAAATGAACAGGGTGGCCAAACAAAAAGATATACCCCAGATTGAGACAAATAACTTTAAAGGTCATGTATACAATCACCATGAACTCAGTAAACATGTTCTTTTCTTTATCCTGATGATTCTGCAGGGGAGTCTCTATTACAGATTACTTACAGCCGCTTCACTGAAACTCTTCCACAACCCCAGAAACCAGCCGGTACTAATATGCTCAAATATTACTCATTGCTTGGTTTACTGTGCATGATGTAGTTTGTAGTAATCTAATGAAACACAAACGCATTAAGGCAAATGCAGCAACAGAGCACCATAACAACTGAAATACTGAAGAAATCTAGTAGTTTATTACATATACCTGTGGGATCTAATGTAAAACAATAAAACAGCTCTGCTTAAAATTCTATTTCTGAAGCTTCTACATGTTCAGTTTTTGTTTACATTATCAAAAATGTGATGATTCTTACTTTATGTTTAATACTAAGACTATAGAGGTGGCAAAACTGATGCATTTTTCAATTTTGATCTGATGACGGCACTGGAAGAAAAGCACATGTTATTTTTTTTTCAAAGATATGCCAGATGAAACCTTTAACCTCATGTTGTTACCAAAGGGACACCATGTCTGTGGTAAATTTCACTGAAATCTAGCTGTTGACGTCTCACTCAAACCCCCCCAATGTCAACCTCATTAGGATTCATCATCTTGAGACCAGGACAATGTCTGTCATAATAATCCATCCAATTATAGCAGAGATATTTCCGTCTGGACCAACTGACAGGTCCTTATCTGTGACTGGGACTCAGCACAAATCTGAATGTGTTGTCATCCAGCAACAGACCGACCACTTCAAAACTGCACTGACTGCATGCAAACCTGAAACACTGGCGGCGGTCGTCTCCAAGAGCAGTGCCCAGTTTTATCTCCACCCCACAGCGAAACCTCTTCTGCAGGCAGTTGGGCAGCCGTTTCTCCATGTCCAGGATAGTGACAGCCCTCTAAAAACAGTTGCGACACTTCATTAAAGCCTCTCATGATCGCTCACATGACCAGCGAACGCTCTGGATGACTCACCTGTAGCTTCCAGATGCTGGCGCTCTCCATGGTGATCTTCTCCACGGTGCGGTTCATCAGAGCGATGAGCATGTTGAGCAGCAGGATGTAGGTGAGTATGATGTAGCCGATGAGGAGCACGTAGAAGATCTCCTTGTACTGGTAGCCCTGGGTGAACTCCATGTCGCCCATGCCGATGGTGAACTTAAAGAGCTGCAGCGTGGTGTAGGAGATGTTTCTGTAGCTGGGTTTCAAACACCCATCATCAGCATCATTTTGACCGTGGTCATCAAAAAAACGGCCCTTCTTCGGTCGAGTGGTGTTTTTCACAGGAGGCTCTATGAGCAGGGTGACCACGGCTGTGACAGGACACAGAGAACACAACATCCTCCGTTCATGGCTCTAGGCTGCAGTTTTTATCTCAACATGTTTCTTTTGTCAGCGTCAGCAAGGAGCAGATCTTATATTTTCAAGTAAGATATCATTTGGGATCGGAGAAGATAAAATACCTGCTGAAAATCCAAAGAGGAAAACGATGTAGACAAAAAGAAAGCGCAGGATATCGCTGAGGATCATCTGCAAAGACGAAGAGAGACAGAGGATCAGATTGTTCACGGTGACGTTCACTGGTGGGTGGTGCAACCCGTGTGGACTACCTTCTGTATCATGACGCTGTAGATGCCCATGTGTCTGTCACCCCTGGAGTAGTAGAGCAGGTTCAACCAGCTGAGAGCAAGACACAGCACCAGGAAGCCCAGGTACTCCTGCCGCCCACACAGATAGAGCCCGGCCGAGGCCAGGAAGAGGACGCCCTGCACGAAACTAACAACAACAGAGGAGCTGCCGTGATGCCGCATGGCTTCATGTGAGTACCTGTGAATCATGGCTTCTGTTGGGTTTGACTGCACTGTGGGTTGCTCAGGAGCTATTCGATGATCAAGTGTTGTCAAGTACCACTAAGCACCAAACAATACGCTTTATAGTGAGCGCTTCTTTCAAAAGAAGTTCAAACATTGCCTGTAGAAAGCCTTCACCTCCTTTGAAAGTTTTACTTTAAGGTCTATAAAATACATTTAATTCAAGTATAGAGTTCAAAATAAAAGTTCACACCAGTATTCCTCTCTCTGTAATGTTACACACCTGAATCATAACCACTTGTACCAGAATTTATTACCTAAATGAGATCAGCTGCATGCAGTCAGGAGGGTTCACTTCACTGTAGTATTAATACAAGTGTACCCAGAAGGTCGTTTTTTGGTGAGCTGGTATCGCAGCAGAAACTACACTGATCAGCCACCAGATTAAAACCACCTGCCTAATACTGAATACGCCCTTGTGCAGCCAAAACAGCTCTGACTCGCTGAGGCCTGGACTCCACAGACCTCTAAAGGTGTCCTGTGGTATCAGGCACAAAGATATTACCAGCAGATCCTTAAAGTCTTGGAAGTTGTGAGTTAAGAGCCTCCTGTTTCTATGAAGGGGTACATGTAGTCTGCAGCAACGTTTAGGTAGGTGGCACCTGTCAAAGAAACATCCACATGAATGCCTAGATTTCCCAGTAGAACGTTGCTCAGAACATCTGCTGCCATCTCTTCCCCACGTAAACAACACACAGATTCAACAGACCAGGCAACCTTCTTCCATTGCTCCATGGTTCAGCTCTGGCGCTCATGTGTTCATTGTAGGAACTGTCAGTGGTGGACAGGGATCAGTATGGTCTGCAAATACGCAGCCTCATATGCAGCAAACTGTAATGCTTTGTGTCTTCTGACATCTTTTTAGCAAAGCAGCATTAAGGTTTCTAGCAATTTCTGCAACAGTAGCTCTTCTGTGGGCTTGGATGACATGAGCCAGCCTTCACTCCCCACAAGCATCAGTGAGCCTCAGACGGCAGCAGTTGACCTCCATTGGACCACCTTTGGTTGGTGCTAACCACTGTATGCTGGGAACAGCTAGAGAAAGTCTGATCCAGTTGTGTAGCCATCACAGTTTGGCTTGTCGAAGTCACGCAGATCTTTCTGCTCGCTCCTAATTCCTGCTTCCAAACATGTCAACTTGAAGAACTGACTGTTTATATTCTGTCTGAAACATTCCACCTCTCGCCGTTGTAACAAGGTGATAAATGTTATTTGCTTAACGTGATAGAGGTTTTAATACTGTGGCTGATCTGTTCGGACCATAAAGAGGTGAGCAACAGAAACTAAGTATGACCACGTGTGGAAGATAAACTTTTTTACTTACAATAGAATCTCATAATATCCATCGATCAGCAGGGTCTGCAGCTTTGGGTGTTTCCTCTTCATGTCTATGATCTAAGGATTTAGATAAGAATTTTAATCAGTCACATTATTGGATCACAAGGTCTTGATATGAGACAGTAAATATAACTTTATAAATGAAATAAAGGTGCCTACATACCCCAATGAAAAAGAAATAGATGTTAGCCAGTGTTATCAGCAGCTGGCCTGAAACATACAGGTAACCCCATGTGTTGTGCTCGATGGGAAACGGCGGCTGTGGGGCACAAAGGAAACATCAGCACCGTCAGGACTGTCAGGAAAAGCCGCACAGATCAGTGTCACAGGTTGTATCAACCAGCTCACCGGTCCGTTCTTCTTATTGTAGGCTACAACAGTGAAGATGATCAGGTACAGGAGGTAGACCAGGAAATTAAAGAAAAACATTCGACCCGCAAACTTCTTCCACTTCTTCTCCAGCAGCTGGATCAGAGGTTCCGTCTCCAGCATCTCATGACGGTTCTGGGCAGAAACAAGAGGAGACACGTGTCTAGGAGCTGAATACCAACTACAGCTGGGCTCACAGTACTGAGACTCACGGGAATGTCGCTGCTGTAGACCAGGATCTCTATCACCGACTTGTCCTCGTGCAAGTCCAAAGAGGCCAGGTCATACAGGGAGCAGTGGACCGGCCCATACACCCACTCAGTGAATTTACGGGACAAATGTTTGGTGTGACTCTCCTGGAACTCCCGTTGAAGGATGTGTGAAAACAGCTGCAGACAAATGAAAGAAAAGTTAGAACAATGACGCTTGTCCACCAAGACTGAAAAGGTCCTGAAACTCACAGGGCTCAACGTAATTCTGTTTTCTGGGCTGTCAGTGCTTAAGGGGAACCCATAGTATTGTGTCTGACCCTGCCCTACTCCTCATGTCATCCCGCAGTGTTTTACCCCAATCTTGCCGGTCTTGGCAGCCATTTTGAGAGGCGTCAGCCCCTTGTGATTCTCGATATCGTCCAACTTCAGCTTGGGATGCAGTTGGGCGCTTGTCTTGAGGATGTGGTCATAGATGCTGGTGATGAATTCTGTGTTCTCCTTTGAGTTGTCAGCCACCAGCACCAGGGCGTGCAGCACCGTGTTGCCCTGAGAGTCCCTCAGCTTAGCATCCGCTCGCTGGAACTCGTTCTCCATGAGGAAGTCCACCACGTCGGGCTGGTTGGTGCAGGCTGCCAGGGAAAGGGGAAGCTCACCTGGAGACATCACAAAGAGAGGTTCACGTTTGTTTTCTGTTTTTTACTGATAAATGCATCTTAGTGACACTGTTTCCACATCAAAACCATCAAAGCTCTGAGTCTGAATTGACAAAAAAAAATCAATGTCATCTTTACAATCATCAGAAAAAATCTATTCCCAATAAAACCTATTCTACTTCTTGTTTCTTCACTTGGACGTTTGAGCCTCACTGTACAGAATGATGTATGTGCAGAGCTGGTGTGACAACTAATTTGTAGGCCAGTCATGGTCTTATTATTCTATTTTTGGGGTCTACTGGATTATGTTTACATGCTTTAATGCACAAACACATTATGTTCTTCATACTGTACATTGCTGTGGCACCTTTCCTCACCGTCTGTCTGAAATGCTCCACTTTAGCTTTTTAGCTCTTTAAGCCCAGTTCACTCTGATTGGTCAGCTGGCCACCAATCATGGTTTACGCACTATAACCCCAGATCTCTGAGTGTAGACGGAGCAGTGTAATCCTAACAGAAACAGCTCTATGGTGGCCTGTGAGGCAGCTGCTTTTTCTTTGAGGGCCAAACTGGCCGCTTTTATGCAAATGTGTAACATGATGATGTTAATAAGTCAGAAAATGCTGGACTTCAAACGCTGCATTTCTGCTGTGTTTCCTGTGGCAGAGAATGGCTTGCTTTGGTTTGCAGTTAAGGCTTTGTGAATTTGCAGAATCTTTACAGAACACCCTCACTTCCCCAGACTGTTTCATTATCCGTGTAATATTATCTGTGCTCGGACAATGCTGCTAATACTTTAGGTGCAATATTTCATTTATATATTATCGACACTGTTATTTTTATTCTGTTTATACTCAGCTCTTTTTTTGTACCTTGCACTACTCTTATATACATATATATTTATAGTTATAGCTTACAGTACTTATTAACAAGTTACTGCCTCACAAGTATCGGTTCTGTGTACTCCGGTTGCCAGGCAACGACATTTCGTTGCCAGATTCACGATTGTGTTCGTGTGCAATGACAATAAAGAAAGTCTAACTATATGCAACTATAGCTACAACTACTAGAACTCTAAAAGCTACTGTAACTACAGCTAAAGGAAAGGAACAACTGAAAACCAGAATATGGGCTCTTGAGTATTTTCTGGATCTTCCATACACTTTCCCTTAAATTGTTTTATTTTATTAACAGTATTGATAATGTTCTAGTGAGCAGGTTCTTCATTCTTCTTTCATAGAAGTCATCTAGATAACTCTGTCAGATCAGCTCAGTCTTAAAAGTGAGCTTTAATCTGCAGATTTATTGGGATATAACTTAGAAATCCTGCATCTTGTTCCAGGACACTACATGAGGATACTTGTGTAGACCTGCAGTATTACAAACCAACAGTTAGAGGTGGTGTTGTCGTGTAAAAGGCAGCAATGTGTCCATAAAGGAGGAGAACGCTTCCCTCTCGACAGCTTGGACACTTTGCATGTATACATCGTATAAGTGAGGGAACTCTTGTGTTTCATTTAGTACCAAAAAAATAAACACTGCTCTGCCGTACAAGAGTGGATAACTAAGTGAATGAAATGTCACATACATCACCGCCTTTATTACAGAGTGAATTATCTCTCACCGAAGTAGAAGTTGGGGCCGTCATGTTGCTGGAAGAATTTCCCACAAGCTTTAGCGTGGACGTCTGCTCCTTTGCTGACCAGCAGCTTCACATACGGGAGACTTCTCCTCTCGATGGCTATATGCAGAGCTGTCTGACCTGTCAGAGGAGGCGTCACATTTCTTTATATTCACTTTGTGCCATTAGATTTTTTGTGACTAAGACAAAAAGTAATGGAAAAATGATCCTTTAAAAGATCTTTATTACAGTGTTTCTGATATATACGGAGAACGGGAGGTGGCAAAGAGAGAGAGTTATATCAAAAAAAGTTCCTGAATTCAGAAGAAACCTCACCTCTGTAGTAGTTGCTGGTGAAAGCTGCATTAACAAACTCCTTGATGTCGCCCATGCTCTCTGATATGGCGATTAGTACGTCTATGGTCTCGTTCTTGCCGTCTTTGATGTGCAGAAGAGCTTTCATGAGGGCGGTTTTACCGTAGGACTGATCTGCAGATGTAACCACACATCCAGGGGGTCAGCACACAGGTCAGCAGCTTACATTTTGATGCAGCTGTTGTTGCATTATGGGTCATTATGCACTCACACAAAGAGTCAGAGAGCTTCTTCATGTTCTGGTGGAGGTACTGGTGCAGGCCGTCCAGCTTTGTAACATCCCTGCTGGCCACTGCTTCAAACAGTCTATCAATGTTGAACGTCTTGCTGTCTCTCCTGCTGTCCGTCTGCTGCTCACCTCGGATCCCTCTATAAACAAGATGTGTTTTACACTCAGCAGGGTGACGAGACAATACTGTTGGTCTAACAGCTTCACTGTCCATTTTAATCAACACACTGGGGCTTGATAATACACAGCACCCACACCGTAATGAGGCAAATATCATTTTATTCCTGCATGGAGAGACTCACTTGTCAAAGTTGAGATTGAATCTTATTTGAGGTTTGGTCTCCTCCATCTCCTCCTGGTAGTCGGTGTCCATGGGGGCCTTTGGGCCGTCCTGACCCAAGCCCAGAGCAGAAGCAAAACCATCCTTCTTGCCTGCTTTCCGTTGTGATTTCTCCTCCTCTGTCCTGTCGTCTGCCTCCAGAGTGAAGCCAAACATCTCTGACTTCTTCATCTTCACCTCTAGTTTGAGTGATCTGCACAGAAATACGGCACAAGTGTTCATTCAACAGCATGGGGTGCTTCAGGGAGCAGATTTCCAGTTAGGAAGTGTACAAGAACCAGTTATGTCTTCTGGAGTGTAACTTTCCGTAGACCAACAGTTTCCATCTTGGAGGACTGGAGCCACACAAAGGATTTGACAGGATAGATCCATATCTGCTTTACAAAATGTCTTCTGAGCTCTAAATCACATAAAGTTCGTTCAGCTTGGAAATGTAAGTTCTCCTGCTGCCAAAGTCATCTCATGAGTCTTTGCGAGTATAAAACTAGCTGAGCTAAATTAGCTGAAGTTGAAAAGACAAGTTGAATAAACTCATGAAATTAAGTTGAAATAACTACGTACACCGACAACAGTTACAGACTGACTTGCTTTCATTTGACATTTTATAGCAAAATACGTTTTAAGAATTTCTTCTTCATTTAACTTGGAAAACGTGCAGTCTTTTTTTCTTTTCAATCTGAACGCTGCTTCTGGTTTCAGTGAGATAAATTATAAACCATCAAGCGTGAATTCAGCCATAACTGCTGTCATGAAACAACCATAACTGGATTTAACACGTATAAACCCAACCCAGCAAGTTTCTTTAAACTACAACAAACAAAGGTCTCGGGGGAGTTTTAACTTTCCAACAATGCATCCTGGGAAGTCTACATATAGGCTGGTTTAAACTTCATTTAATGAGTTGAGTGAACTCTCAGCTGTTCATTTATTGAGCTCATCACATCACAAGTACCTCAAGTTGTATGAATTTGTTATTAAGTTAGTAAAGTGGTCTGAAAATAAATAAATAGACATTTTAAGTTGAATTTTCCAGAACTTAGCACGAACCATATATTTGTATTTGGCAAACTAGAAAAAATAAGTTGATCTGACTAAATTTCTACAACTTGAGAAGCAAAGATGTGGTTTTATTAAACTACTTAAAACTGTGTCAGTAGGTTACACATAGCTTTGATTTAATGGATCAGAAATCAAAATTAGTTGTGAGTCACGCCGAAGTGTTTGCCTAAGCAGAGTTTACCACCAGGGTTCATCTCTCTGCGGCATATTTTCAGACATGTGATGTCTCATCCCTCTATGACTAACAAAGAAGTTTATTTACAGGGTCTCCATGACACCAGGACACACAGAGCACTTGATCTGGAAGCTACTTACTCTGCAGAATAATCGAATCATTTACAGTTGGGTTTGTGTAGAAACAATTTCAGCGAGTTGCAGGATGAAGGGAATATTCCTGCACAGTTCAGCTGATCACAACAGTCTATATTCTTGTTGTCTTGAATCTCTATGGGTATTTTCGGTGGTTTCTTGTTCCCATTTTCAGTTTGAAAATGAGGAATTAGTGACTCGGTAGAATCTCCGTATGACTCCTCGATCATAGGAAGAGCAAAAAAAACAAAGACTGGATGAACTGAGAAGTAAACACGTGTTGTTTTTTTTTAAGTCTTTTTGAGCTGATGAATTAAGCCTTTGTTTTCATCAACAAAACTGAAGCAGCAGTATTTTAAAGAACGGCACAATTCACACTTCCATAAACGAGTTTATTGTTAAACTGTGTGTGTGTAGGAATACCTTACACACTGCGTCATTATGTCCTCTTGTATTATTTACAGATCTATTGATTGATGACACGGTAATGTGAGGCGTGTATGTTTTAACAGAACACATCAGACGTTTAAGAACATAAAGATCATCTACACTATTTCAATTCAGTTTTTCTATTCACCACAAATCCATTCACATAGTAAAATAAAGACCCTGCATTATTATATTATAGAGAGAAACCCAGGAATACAAGGACTTCCTTTAAGCAAGCACTTCGACAGTGTGAAGAAGAAAAAAAACAGATTACAGAAACACAATTTAATTTTTTTAGCTGTATGTTCACATGCACACCAAATCAGCAGCATATCATGAGAATATTATATTAAACTGGTATTTTGCTCATGATAATAAAGATGTTTCACATATTCTTCATGCTCTAAAACCTTTTTAAGCTGTATAACAAAGCAGTAAAGCTAAATCAGACTAACCACAAGTGAGTCGTCTTCTTCCAGATTGTCTTCTGTATCAAAAATCTGCTCTTTAATCAAAAACCAAACAACGGTGCAGAGTTCTGCAGAGATGCGGGCGTGTGGATCCTTTTGTCTTCAGCGTCCTATGACGCTCGCTTAATGTAAAGGAAATGAGATTGTAGAAGCAAGCTGGAGGGAGATAGGGTGACCCGCCCTAGAGAAAACCAGAGCACATTACTCGGACCCTGAGTGCTTGAAAGGATGCTGTATTGACCGAGCATGCTTAGACCAAGACAGCTAAAGATACCACAAGACATTCACATGTATGGCCTGTTTTATCTGCATCTGACACAGTCTTAAAAGTGTTTAATGAAGAGTTCAGCAGAGAAGAGTCCCAGAGCTGAGTATTAATGTGTAAACAGCCTCTGCATTTAGGCAAAACAATCTAATAATATAGTTTAGTTAATGCAACGAAGCACTTATCTGCAGCAAATGCCTATCAAAGATAAATGTGTGGCACCGTTAAATAACAGAACCTCACAATGCTCAGAAAGAAAAAGTCATAGAAGAGAAACTTACATGTTTCTTTGGCTGGATTTCTGTTACATATGTAGAAAATCCTTTGGTTTTTTGTTTTTTTTAGTCTATGAAGTTGCTTCCCGTGTGTCTCATGCTCTGCTTCACGCTTTCAGCTTGATGTGTGCGCGTCTTCGGTGCTGCTTAAGTCCTGTGACCAAGTGTGTGGTTGCAGATCTTCCGCCTACCGATGTCATCTGCACATTTGCTGATATGAGATCTGACAGTTTCCTTTCTTTATATGACTTCCTTTTTTTTTTTTTCTTGATAGCTAAATGGGGCACACAGACATGAGATGGTTATAATCTGCTCAAGACGGTGTAACTAGTTTGTACCGGAAGAGCTAAAACTTTATCTGTGATAACGTGCTGCTCCATCCAGGGGGTGTCTGACCTTTTTAATATGAATTTACCTTCATTAAAAACCCAAATCAGTGCTCAAGATTATAATTGTTGCTTTCCTGGACAGGCAGAATAACACACAATAACATTACATTCAATAAAAATAGTCAAGAAATGAGAACAATTTGAATCATTAATACTGATTTATTAGATAACATCACTTCATGTGTAAACTACTGACCCACACAGAAATCTCTATCTGAAGTCATTTCAGCATCATGTTGCCCCAGTTTGATGAATGACTGGATATACCAATAAGGCCTTGCATTTTGCACAGTCACATCTGCATTTCCTTGTAGAAAAATCACTGTTTACACACATTATTATGACAAATTACAAGGAAACCGACATTATTAACTGGATCATCCATCTGGATGCTTCAGAACAAATCGGTTTTCTCTCTGATGACTTTCAGTGTCATTACTCGCTACTTAATTATCGAATTAATGTAATAATATGAAAACAATGACATAAACCATTTAGGCCATTTATCCATCATGTGAGTAGTAGTAATACCACAGAGGGCAAATAAAGAGCAGTGAGAGGGCAACATTTAGAAAAACACTTAAATCTAAGGATCAGCTGGGAGGAAGTGAGCAAAAACAACGAAAGAGCACAAATTCAGTCAAACATGCTTTAACAAACACGACTTGAGCAAGGCAATCTGTCAGCACATGTGTATAAATGGGGCCTGTATCACAAAGCAGGTTAGCCAGATATCTTTGAACCTAACTTTGGGTTTCTGGTATCGTGGGTCACCTCTTAGGATTACTATGGCAACCTGAGCTTCACAGTTTGATGGAAAATTGAGTCATT